ACATGCAAAGTTGCACACATACATCATGTGTGTGTTTGTTCACACATGCATGTGCACAAAATATGTGTGCATACAGATGAACGTATGAACCTGTGAACTACAGATACACCCATGTACACACCTGCACACATATTCATGCACATGCACACTTATATTGCCAACTCATCTTCATGACCCCACACACATACAGGTTAACCCTGGTACACACAACCAAGCAGATACACACACGAGCACACATGTTCATGCATGGATGTACCCATACAGAGACTAATGTGCACATGCATGTCCACATATGCACTCACACACCTCCGTGCATGCATGTGTGTATGCAGATGAACATGTATACACACGTGTACATATACATGTGCATATACTCCTCTCACCTACACTGCACACACATGCACACACGCAACACCCCAAGTGAAGACAACACCCTAGGTAGCATCTATAAAGTTTTTCGTCTCCTTTCTTGGAGGTGGGTGACCCTGCAGGAAAGCCGTGGCCTTGAGCGTGGACACAGCCAGCCACGCTGGGGGGGGACTCCATGGTGGAGTTGGGCTTGGTGCCTGGTTCTTTTTCCTACTGGTGAGGAGGAGAGAGATTGGACTATCTGGCTGGGTGACTCAGAGGTTGGTCACAAATATGAATCACAAAGAGGCAGCAAGCAGTGTAGGTGTGAGCGTATGTGCATGTATATGCACACATGTGTACCTACGTGTGCCAGGGTTCGTCAGCACACAGGCCCAGTGGTTTCTGAGTCTGCCTTTCTTTGCATTTTCTTGCTTACTTTCCATACACCCACACACGAGGAGCCCTGGTGGCAGTCTTGTGAAGTGCGTGCCTGTTAATGGAAAGGCAGGAGTTCAAATCCACCTGGGACTCAGTGGAAACCAGACCTAGCGATCTGTTCCTGAAAAGACTGCAGCCCAGGGAAACTTCAGGAATGGCCATTTTTTCCCTGTAGGGTCACTGTGACTCAAATCGACTCCAGGACACAAGAACACGGATCCCAGAGTGGAGGCACAGGAAGTCAGCTTCTGGGGCGTGAAGGTCCCCTCCCAAGACAGACTTGGCATCCATCCGTCAGAGGGGAACCCATGTGTGCAGGGACAGGAGCCTGGCCCCAGGCCCCAGGATGCCATGTGCAGTGTGAACAGGATCCGAGCGGAGGCTGAGAAGCTGGGAGAAGACTGCAGGAGGACGCATCGGGCTCTCCCTAAATCACAGACAGAAGGCAGCTAGCACGGCCTCCACTGACGTGTTCAAGCTGCTGGTGCATAAACCACACAGCAGTCAGCAGATGCCACATGCTCCACTCCGCATCAGAGATGTTGCACAGGAGAGGGGGGCCAGTGGGGAGGAGCTCGTCCTAGTGGTTCCATACAGTGAGATGCTCGGTCCCCAAGGACAGCCTGCCAGCGTGC